TAATTTCTAAATACGGCATGACTAAAAATCTTTTTAGTGTGACTTTTCTCACTGTTTACCAGAATGTTGAGCTGAAAAAACTTTTTTAATTTTCCACTTTAAAATCCAAGAAGCCTCGAATTTTGTTTTTATGAAGTGCTTCTCTAAATTTTTGAATACATAACTTCAGCTTTTTAGCTTTTTCTGTCGGCCTAAAAATTCAGACTTCTTGAAAACTTGTTTTCAGAAATTTACAAGTTATGATTTTCAGTGATTCAATTAGACGCATAAATCCACATCTTTCAACAAGGAAAAACACGGAAGTCTGAAGCCGTCTAACTTAGTAGGCAAATGCAAAATGTTTTCTTGTTAGAGTAGGGCAGTTGTTAGGGAATTTCGAATTATTTGGCTTCCAGTAGAAATTTTGTTATTAATATGCACGGCTTCGATGCACCTGGGTGTGTGTCACGCAGCACACATTGAAGTTCAACTCTTTTTCGTAAGCAGGCCTTCAGCAACCTCGAGTTCATCAGTTCAGTTTTTTGGGCACATTTATAGCTGCCGAGTTTACAGGAATGACTATGTCCCCCTTAATTTAATTATTTTTTGGGCTTTATGAGATTTTTGCATCGATCCACAGTGTGTTATTCGCGTATGTTTGCAAATGTCATTGTGTACGTGTGTGCATGCCCAAATGTATGTGGGCGTATCATTCATGCGCTTATTTGGATAATTTATTTTATATATAATTGAAGCCGCAAACCAGAACTCTGAAAAAAAAAAAGTTTTGCAGAATTTTCTATGGAATCACAAGTCGAGAATGACTTTAGAAATTTTTTTGGCCTTTGACCACGGATGCAAGAGTCGGCCTGTTCTACCACTGAATGTATAAAGCCATGGATTGACTTTCTCAAGCAAATCCAGTTAACGCATGGTGCTTGATGAATAGCGTGGAGCAAAGTTTTCCAGACTTTTCTGACTAGAAACTTTGACTTCAGGATATTTTTATAAAACTCGATTTCAGGATTTTTTATAAATTCGGGAGGGGAAATGTTATAAAGCAAACACTCAGACTTTCCCCTAGAGGTGGTGTGCAAGATGTCATTACGACCACGCGAAAAAATAAGATCCAAAAAAGGGGGCATTTTGCTCGCCCCGCTGACAATTGGGGACGTCGCCCGTTAGAGAAAGTAATCGACCACTCGGGCAGCTCCTGAAAATGTGGCGCATATACAGTGAACAGGCGGTAGGTACTAGCTAGAGCTATGAAATTACAGACAGCAGTTTTTTCAGCCCGTGATTGCCGCATTGTATCCCGACTAAGAAAATCGCAGTAAATTCACCAAGATCTTCCATACCGCCAGTGCCGACCCGGTTCTGGCAAAATGCACGAGCTTGACTCTGACTGGGTCTCTACCTCAGTGCTAACTGTTCCTAGTTGTTGCTTGCCGTCTCCGTTGTGGGTGCATAAAGTCTTCCTATAGGTTATTGAGTAGTTGCATTTTCCTTTTTGGGTACCATTCAATGTTTCTCGATTGTTATCAATATGGGCAATGCTATGTGGTTTCTTTCGATTCCTCTTAGACTGCTGCGAAAGCATTCTGGCTGCAAAGACGGAAAAAAGTAGAATTCCTAGGGAACAAAAAACTGTGTCATTTTGTTGTGAGTTTTTTCGCGAATGTTTCGAGAAACTAGAAAAAAAAGTTGGTTCCGCTGGAAAAGGATGTGGTTTAAACCAAAGAGGGCGGATGGGAAAAAGATTCGATTTGAAGCAACTTTCACTGCTAAGTGGATTTTTTTAGGAGCCAAAAACAGGAAATTGAATGATTTGAAGGAAGAATGGATAGCATCCGGAGATGCTGCTGTGTTGCTCGGTCCACTAAACTCCGTTGATGCTAACGGCATTTTCTCAGAGCCAATACTGCACCATAACACTGAAAATGAAATTTAATTTTAAAATAACTAAAATTCTTGTGCTTTCTCAGAGGAATTTTGCAGTGATAAATTCTCCTTTTTTTGTTGAGAAATAATTCTAATATAAATAAAGGACAGGACACAGTGGCAACTAGCGCTACTCTCATGTTAAAGGCTAGAATTTTTGCTCCGCCAGTAGAACGACTAATTTTTCTATGTTCGTTCTGGTGGAAACTTGACGTTGTGGCATGGCAGGGAACTAAAAATTTTATCAGCTTGCTCTGGCGAACCGTTTAGAAGCGTAAGCCGGCAGCATCTAGTTGTTCTTTTAGGACACGTTACAGCTCGGGCCGTTCTCAATTGTATCTACTTTCGGATACAGTGAATACCAAGAGTATTTTGACTTCTGACTTCGACTTTTATTTTTAGAACTTTCGATTTTTTCAGAAATTTCTAGAAGTTTCGGTTTTCGTATAAAAACACGTGTTAACGAGAAGTCGCTTAGCGTATGTGTGTGTATGCGCATGTGTATGTGAGCATGGCGAAGGAGTGGACACATTTAGCCTGAAAGGACTGAAAAAAGACCTTGTTCAGCATTGGAAAAAGACAAGGAATGTTGGCAGGTCGGTTTTATTGTGGGCAGAAAGTAGTTTCTACAAGACGTCTCCTTCAGTTCCCGCTCATTATGAATCTAATGCAACTTTCAAAAACACTCAAGCCTACACTTTTTGCCATAATCAGCTTTGACAATGAGGTGGAAGAATTCTGTGCTAAGCTCGAGTCCACATTATCCAAATACGGCGTTTATGGAGGATTGTAGCGCAGAGTTTGAAAGAAGAAGGGAAAATAGGGAGAGTACTATGGTAAACTGGGCACTGGCAAGAGGAACGGAAGTAAAGACTAACTGCAGTGGTGGAGACGAACAAGTAGTGTTTGTTGGTAGCGTCTTGTTCCGAAAAAGTGTGGAAGGAGGTAACTTGGCTTGCACCAAATAAAAAGAAATACTTGGCGTCTTCCTTTTGTAGGAGTAACAACCACCGCATTTTGCAGACAAGAATACATATAATCATTGTGGCTCATGAAAGAAGGACATTGTAACCAGAAAATTGGCGTAATATGCCCCAAGAAACCGGTAGAGCGGCGATATAGTGGCAATTCAAGAAAACCGATTAGGCATAACGGCGAGCACTGGGCAGGGCTACAAATGCTTCTTTGATAAGCTTGTTTTTCTGTCTTTATAAAAAATAAAATCCAATTTGACTGAATGCACAGACTATTGGCGTAGTAAAGCGGTGATGCTAAAAGCGCATTCCATAATATTGACGGCGAACAAATTGCAGGAACTGGCAGCATTACCACGCAAATACGAGTATTATTTTATGCCAAATAAATCACAAGTGCTTTTCTATTTGAGCGATGCATCGTTACTCAGGATCCGAAGGGCTGGCACCGAGTTACAGGTCTTTTTTATTCTTATTGGCGTTGTGTGTATGTGTGTATGCGTGTGTGTGTGTTTGTGTGTGTGTGTGTGTATGTGTGTGTGTGTGTGTTATATCCAGAGCTTCAGCAGTTCTGATATGTACTTCTATACCTGCAAAAGTAATATAAAAAGTAATATAAGTGTCAATAATCAATATTAATGGTAATATAAGTGTCAATAATCAATAATACTAGTAATGTAAGGATCAATAATCAATACTAATGAATTTATAAGATATTAAATACTACAATTAATACACCTCTCTTTAATTTACTTTCACTCCCTTCACCCTTACTTTCATTTGTTGAATTTTTCACATTTATTGAATTTTGTTCAATTTTCCCTTTTTGTTATATATTATTACCACAGTCATCGTATAAATGAAATCAGTTATGATACAAAGTAGGAATTTATATTACTTAGTAGAGCGGAACATTTCTGTTTCAAGTTGTTATTCTTATTTCAGTCTCTTCTTGCATTGTTTTGCTTTAATTATCAAACCATCCCACTACTATTTATTAATAGCTGATATTACCATTTATATTGAACTAATCTACATATCAGCTAAGTATCAGTATCAGTAGTTAATATCACTTAATATACCACTGTATGTCAAAAAAATATTAGTATCAAATGTGCTAATACTTATTTTCGAAGATAGTTTTGTAGGTGCGGAAGTATATATTATCAAAATTCGCTTAAGTAATATGTGCTATATAGCAATTTTTATTTGATATCAGATGCTAAGGTACTTATTAGCTTTAAAAATCATTATAAGCACTATTCCATCAACAGATAACAAGTAGTAGTAAGATATATAGAAAATATAGGAAATATTGCAAAAATATTTTCACTCGCTTTGAATCATTGACGAAATGATTTCAGGTCACAGATTCGATAGACTTCCCTTTGTTTGATATCTGGATGGAATCGAATTGTGCTAAATCAACGATGGTGCTAGAATCGTACGGTAAAACCGTGCTTTTGATATCTGAAAGTTTAGGAATTGGATGCTTGTTGAGGCGAAAATCTGAACCGCCAGTGGTTGCTATAACTGACTGGAATGCAGATCTGTTTGGCTATTTTATACCTGGTGAGCTTTTTTTCTGCACTCTTTTTGAGAGTTCCGTGGTGCGGCAGCGGTGTAAAACGCAGATTTGCATACGTGTGTTCGAATTTTTGTCCGGAAACCCAACTCAGTAACCAGAAAAGCTAGGAAGCTGAAATTTTAGGAGGAAGTTTTCATGCTATCTAAATTCAAAAAACTAGGTGATGACCTTCTGAAACATCGTACATTTATCAAGAGTTTCAGGCGATCCATTCCTGATTGAGGATAGTGATAAACGAACGATAGCTAAAGTATTGGCGACCGAAAACGCCTATGGAAGGTCTGTTTACATTTCAGTTTCATTCATTTCAGAAATAACAGACTTTTGGTAATAAATAAACTTTTCGAAATAAAAATTTCAAGAAACTCAAATTTCATCAGTTTTTGATTAAACTGTCGCTTAATTTTTATAAAATGTTATACTTTTTTATCGAGTAAAATTTACAGGCTCACTCTTATTATGGCGAAAAACGAAGCTGTATAGTCAAGCAACTGCATCGGTTTAAGCCGATGTCAAAAAATCCCCAATTTTGGCTTGTTTTCTTGTTCGGCTGCAAAGGGGATGTTTCGCAAAGCCAGCTTTTTGCCAGCGTTTGCAACAGCTAGGGACCGATCTCTTGTTCATGCACCCTTATAACAATCCTGTTCAAGTTTTGTTGCCACTACGCTATCGATCTAATACGTTTAAAAAATTTTAACTAATACAAGGGCTATGTACGTAGTGCGGTTCTGCTATTATAAGCTTAGATTTTGAGAGGACGATTTTTTTTTGTGAGATTGCTATTTTTTGTGGGATTTTTAGAGGAAATCTTTTTTGCAAGGGAAATCGTTGGTACTGATTTTCAGAGCAACGGTATGGGTGTGCATTTTGGAAGGCTCAGGTCGCGAGATTGCTCGTTTCGAGGATTACAGTACGATATATTTCACGAAAGATGTTGGCGGATTCCAGCTTAAGCTATTGGCGCTTGCAGCATTCGCACGTCTGGCTGCAACCGAATGCATCCAGACGCAGTCCTGTTGTTGTTCATTCCTTTCTTTGTTGTTCCGCTGTTGACTGTGCTTCAGCTTTATCACCGTTACATGTAAATTATTTTCTCACTTTTTGTCATCGAAATATTTGTTATCATTAGTGCCAGAACAGTTTCAGAAGAATGTGTAACTTCCAGAAATATATAATGCTCGTGGCATTTACGTAGTAGTCACGTAGGGGCATGTAAGAATTTTGATAGGGGAGTTACTACCTCGGAAACCAGAAAAGTTGGAAAGCTGAAATTTTGAGGGAATGTTCCCTGCCCTAGTACAACTTAAAGATTTCAAATTCAGCCCCCAAACGTGCGTGGTTCTTATTTATTGGGCGGTTAGAAGTTTCAGCAGCAAAAAGCGAGTGTTGCAAGACTGGCATCTTTTTGGATCATCAAAGCGCGCCATGCTGCTCATCCCGGTTATCTTGCAATACGTAGCCCTTTTGCGAGCGAGTACTGATCAGGGAGAGGATTCAATCATTCGTCTTCATATCCGGACGCTACGTGCTACCTACCGGTCTTGTGCTCCGCAAATCTGGTGGTGTATCTGTATCGTGTAAATATTCTTTCCGCATACATATTCTACACGTTCTAAGGTTGCTACCACATAAAGCGTGCGCTCTTCAACGCATAGCGGCTTGCGCGGGAATTCCGTAATCTACAGAAAATGAATAGCATGATTGGTCTCATT